TAATAATTATTCATTCATGGTAATCTACTATATTTGGTACATTGGTAAGATTACACATGTCACTTCATTTTTCATTATTATTAATAATGGTAATTAAGTGTTACCAATAAACTGTTACGTACCATTGGGCAATTCAACTAAACTCTCCGTGAAGATGGGAGATTTTGGAGGCTTTCTTCGCTATCGTTGTTAGTGCTATCGATAGATGCAGTTTGCATCATTAAGGTACGCAAATTGTTAATTACAGTTTATTATTATTGGTAACTACTGTTATAGCTGTTAACCATTTTGAACGAGTCACATTTTATCCTTAAGAATATGGAAACATTAAGATATGTATTACCATGTTTGTCATTATTAAAATGTTCATAGTGATTATAATGCTCCTTATTACTATTAATATTTTAATTAATGATAACATTATTTTTATGGTAGTAAGACATGGATTGTTTCCAAATTGATTTATGTGGCATTTATTTTCAGACTTAAGTTTTATTACATTTTACAGTTATATCCAAAAATATTTTAAAGGTTAACAGTTTTAACTATTGTTTTCCATATTTAGTCTCTAAATTAGCATAATAATATTATTATGGCTATTTATTGCTTTTTTGGTTTATTTGCAATTTTATGCCATTAACAATACTATTAATTGAGTTTTGGAGAGTGATTTTTAATCGATTTAGAATTTTGGAAAAAACATGTTTTCTTGGTAATCTATCACATAATTTATTTAATTATGATTTTAGATGTTAATTGCCCACATTTAGTTAAGTATGAATAATTGAATACACATTTAGTGTTTTTCATACTCTTTAAATTGTTTTATGCATTCAATCACATTAAGTGCATAATATTAAGTTTAATTATGCAATTAGAATTTGTGAGATTTTTTTTATTTATGAATAAAACATATACTATGGCTTGATATTTGTGAATTTAGCCTGTTTCTCACAAAGTTAATTTTATGCAATTAAAAACTTTTCCACGTGGGCTTATAGTTTTTAACCTTTCAAAGTATACATCTATTTTATTATTATTTAAATTTTGGATTTCTTTTGGTTAGAAGTCATACTTGTTTTGAATATTAATTGTATACTTGAGGTTATTGCTCATATTAAAATTGTTTTCAGTTATGCAATTTATTTGGAATATATGAGTTTATTATTTAATTTTATGCATATCTGTTCTAAGCATAATATTTTATTTTTAGATTATGCGATTTATTTATTATGTCTTTAGAAAGCATAGTTTGAGAATGGATTTAGTTCCTTATTAAGTTGAACTTTATGCATAAAATTAATTACGGTAGTGCCTGAATTTGAGCACGTTTAGTCCGTTAATTTAGTTCATTGATTTAAAGCCTATCCATAAGTGAATCTACAATTGTATAGATCTCCCAAACGATTTTACTTCAAACATGAGAACACATGACTTAGGGAAGTTTCTTGGGGAGGAATACTAGTTCTATGGCCCTGGCTTAAAAGCCTTGTTGCTACTAGTCCCGTTGCGACGCTACTCTGTCTAAGGAGTTGGTATTTAACCGAGCTTCGTCTCGACCAACTTTCCTGGGAGTATACCTAATAATTGGCTATCATGTGTTGGTTTAATTCGTTTGTTAGGCTTTAACTTCCCCTTTTGCCAAGTGATTACAATTTCTAGATTAATTAAAGAGTAGCCATAGCATCTTTAATTTACTAAAAATTGTCTAAAGTTCAAATCACATAAAGATGGCAATGATAAATGCCTAGTGGTCCTATAATTTTAATTAGTTGGGGAGTAGCCACAGCATCCTTAATCAGTTAAAATTATATATTGAGTTGTTGGGTCACATAAAATTTGATAAATGTCTAGTGATCTTATAATTTTAATTAGTTGGGGAGTAGCCACAGCATCCTTAATCAGTTAAAATTATATATTGAGATGTTAGGGTCATATAAAGTTTTAGACATATCAATTGTGATTAATTGTATGTAATATGATGGAATTTAGCCCACGGGCAATTTCGTTATATTTGTATGATTAATTAGGATGAAATACTGAACTATGATCATAATTTAGCCCACAGGCAATTATGTATCGGGATGTAGTTTAGTAGGTTTATCAGTGATGATAGGAATAAAGATTCACCTCTATCATGAAGCTTAATTTTATGATGTAAACTTTAGGTCATATATCTTAATTTGCCCACAGGGATTAAGATAAGGAACATGATCTCTTAAGTGTTTTTTTGGTCATAATGGTTGTAATGAATCTAATTGAATTAAACTTCAGCCCACAGGCAAGTTTTATGTCACTTGATTCTTCAACCCATTTGATAATTGTATGGTTGTAATGAATCTAATTGAATTAAAACTTTAGCCCACAGGCAAGTTTTATGTCACTTGATTCTTCAACTCATTTGCTAATTGTTTCATCATAAAATTTCAGTTGGATCTTATTGAGTAAAACTTTAGCCCACAGGCAAGTTTTATGTCACTAGATTCTTCTGGCCATTTAGTAATTGAGATAAAATACTATCATAAGTGTTTAATTGAATTTAATAGAATTAAAACTTTAGCCCACAGGCAAGTTTTATGTCAATAAATTCATCAACCCATTAGATAATAACTTTATCCCAATTTCTTAGAATTTATAAATTCAGTTCAATTATAATTCTAAGTTTCATGGTTTGCATTGGCAAAACATGTATTTAGTCACTTTCCAAAATTTAGATACACCTTTTATTAATTATTTTTTCACGAAGCTTACTTGGTTATTTGGATTAACTATAGTAAGTTGCGTGGTATGATATACTTCTTTTGGATTCCAATAATAAAATATATCTTCTGAGCCGAATTCCAACTTGGTTTTGGAAGGCGTATTTTATTATTTTAGTATGTCCAACTATGGTGGAGAATCATGTCCTCATTAATCATTCATTTAGTTGGACTATAATTGGAACCAAATATTGATTATTTAGTGTGTCCAACTAATGATGGAGAATTATATCTTCATTATTTAGTTGGTCAAATCAATTATGAGTGTTATATCATTAATTTGGCGAAAGAATATCTTAATCAGTGGGAGTGATCATTTAGAAAAAGATCATTAAAACACTCCACTAAAACTGATGGATTTAATTGTTTTCATACATTCCAAATTGGGTTGTGCGTCCAAAAATAAGTCTAAAAGTTTCCACAAGTATTAATTAATTTTTGTTCTTATAATTCATAAGTTCATTTCATTGAACGTTTGGTTGTACAACATATTTATGAAAATGTTGTAACAATATTAATGAATTTATTAGAACGAAATCATTTAACTTGTGGTGCACTGCCAATTAATAAATTCTTTAGCAATTAACAGAGTCTTTAGTTTCTTCAAAATTGATCCTGGGTCATTTTTGGTTTGTAAGGCTCAAAACAATTTTGCAAGACCTATAAGTAAGACTCGTAATGTTCAATTAATTTCGAGGGGGACCTTGAGATTATTTGGGAAGTTGGTGTATGTTTAAGATTCCAAATTATTGACTTAGACCTTATGGTTTATGTCATTGGAATGTTTCTGTGACTTGACTATCTTTTGGGCTATCTTAATGAGTGGGAGTGACAGACGTGTCAACTCCAAGCTCTTAGCCGTTGGAGGTAGTGTTTATGTTAACTTATAAACAAGTCATAGAATATAGTTAGCATTATGCTAACATTAAGAGATCTCTACTTAAGGCATGCTTCTAAGATTTTGGAGATCATACAGTGAATTTGGATGGTTTCTTCCTTCAGTTGTGCACATAATATATTTTGAGAAACATCCATTAAGGGACTAAGAATAAACGTAGGGTTTGTTCATAAAGAACCTAAATTAGAGAATTTAAATGCATGTGATCATAGTAGATACTACTCACTTGATTAGTAGATGACGTATTACTATAGTTCTTGTATTTTGTTCTTTAATGAAGGTTGTGCCAGTACTTGCACCAAGTGGGAGAATGTAAGTATTTTCCCTAAATACAATATGTTATAATATATTGTATTATTGGGTGGCTGTGGTGCAAGTAGGAGATTGAGTCAATTAGTGACTTAATCTGTTATGCAACTCAGGATATTCAGTTAAGCTTTAACTGAATATCTGCCTATGTTGATGGCATGTAGGCTTCTAAGCAAAAGAGTCCTCCCACAGCTCCCGAGTTCAGGACACGCACCATCACGTATTCGGGAGAGAAGTGGTAGACAAAATGACACTAACCTTTATTCTGCAGGTTTACCATCTCGTGGCAATACCAACGACTATGGCTAGGGATATTTGGGCGATCCTAAAGCTTCCGCTGTAACGAGGCAGGTTACTCGTTTACTACAGTTTGTGTTAGTCTTAATATTATTATCTAACATACAGTATACATGTCTTCCCATAAATCCAGTATCGTACATCACGATTGCTTCAAGGTGTCTCTGTTCGACTTCAGAAGCACTTGAAGACCCTGGGGGGCTTTGGTGCTAGGAATAGATGCTTAAATCATCTGTTGACGCTCGCAGAGTCCCACATTGAGTCCTTCATCCTTGAAAACTTCATTGAAGCCATAAAATGGTACCTTTTCTTCACCTTTTTGTGGTTTCTCTTTACTATGAAAGAACAGTCTAACTGCGGCTTCCATTGCAGTTGTCCTAATGCCAACTCTCGTGCTGCCCTGAAACTCGTCTGCGACCTTTATGCCTTGGATCGAATCTGGAATGACATAGGAACTTATCGCAATGTGGATTACCTGGCTCCTAACAAAGCTAAGGTATTACAAGCTAGATTGATTCCCATTTGTTTGAGTGTCTGAACGCCTGATATTTTCAACGTTTTCAACCTTGCAGGCAGTTCAAAAGTTGATGGAATATCTGTGTTTCCAAGTTAGGAATATCGCAAAGGAGCTCATAGATGGCTTTGATATACCCGAGTATGTTATACGCGCTCCAATCGCTTTGCAGGATGCAGAAGAAGCGTACTCACAGTATGCTCACAATGCTGGATTCTAGATATCCCATACAAGGCTATCACCACCATATATCCTCAGACAGTTTTACAACCCTAATTTGTGCTGAGTGTCGGATGAAATGAAAATTTTACTTCATATAGAATATCACTGGAATTTACTTTTTGATAAACATGCTTATTTGATTGGTTCTCAGTATTCAACTTCTCTTAATTTTAGTTCTAATGGAATGTATTGGCTATGCCTTTTCAAACTCAAGCAGGACTTGTGATGGAGGTAGAAAGAGCAGACTCAATGTGAGTTACTAAGAATTTTGTGGTTACCCTCCTCTTTGAATGCAGAGGGCTTATGGCTTCATATGTGATCTCACTTTTATTTTAAATTCTCTAGAGTGCTGAATCATCAGGGACTTTTGCTAGAAGGCACTAGAAGAGAAGGCAACTCAAAGCAACGGCCTGATGCACTTGTTCAGGTATATAAAATAGGGAGATTGTTGTGCGCTGCTTCCTCTTTGGCTCTTTTCTTTGCTATTGTTAATTAGTTGTCATGTTCTTTGCTTCCTGATTCTTTCATCACATTTTCATAGTGTAGAAAGTTTATATTACATAAATCATCACATGGCATTGCAGAGTAAGTGTCACTATGTGCTTGTGGTGTCAATGAACAATGATATATACCTTATTTGTTACTTTTCCTTATCTAAATATTTAGCTAGCTTGTTGAGAGAATCCAGATTTACAAAAGGGATTATTGAAAGCTTAACAAGCAAAGGATTCTCTTCTTTGATGATGACATCTCTGCTGCTTGTAAAAAATTTTGCTAGGTGAGAATTTTTTTTAACTTTGCAGTGGAGATATTACCAAACTGAGAGCATATCAATAATTCTATCTTATGTATGACAAACTGTAAGTTTATAGATAAATAGACACACAACTTGCACCACCACACTCTTCTGATCTCCCCTTTCCCCTTAGTGTGTCATTTTTTGTTTGGAAAAAAAAAAATTTCCGATCCCCTTACCAGCATGAGTCAAGATATGGAGTTGTTTGGACCAATTATGATTTCCAAGAATATTGTAAGCATTATATTGGTTTATCTTTCTGAGAGTAAATACCTTATCAAAAATAAGTAAATAAAACAAAAATACAAAAAGAAAAGAAAATGATTAACAAGTTTGCGAGAACAAAGAATCCTATGGTAAATTGTGCTATAAAGACATTTTGATGCTGTGAAACCCTTTTTCAATCTGAGAAGATAGCTGCATGTAACATATTCAATTCCTTTTGCCCATAAGGATGCACTAAAAGTCATTCCTTTCTAAGAGATGAAAAGTCATTCTATCCCATAAAATTTTAAGGCTGAGTTCTAAGATTGCGTTCTAACTGAAATACACACTAACACAATATTATCTCACATTTTATGAACTTCTGAATTAAGTTGTCCTCTTAGAATCTTAAATAACAAAGAGTGTCTTTGAAGGGCATTCTTATCATATTCTTTCGCTAAAATTTGGTGAATTTATGTTGTGACCTAGGTGTTTGCTAGAACTATAATTTGCCGGGATTTGGATGTTGCAACAAGAGTTGTCCGCACAGATGGTCTTGACTGCATTACTTTGGAAGGTTCAGAAAACTTGATTCTTCATGATTTGACTATTTTAGTGTTTGCTTATTACACTAAAAAACTAACAAATATCCTACTTGCAGGTGACCAAGTGAGCAAAAAAGGTGGCATGACTGGTGGATTTTATGATTATAGACGCTCAAAACTGAGGTTCATGAGCATTGTTAGGCTCAACACAATTTATATCAGCGAAAAGCAAAATGAATTGGAGCAAGTTAGACAAATGCTTCAAGATATCCTTTTACAGTTTACCTTCTAGACCCTGCTTGATGTGGGTGCTTTGTGCATTTGGTTCTAACATTTTTGAAAAGAAAAGTTTTAAAGTTCATGTCAATTTGCTTTATCTATGTTTGTTTAGGATGGATAAGATAGAAGTTCATACTGACTTTGTATGTGCGTGTGTGTTTAAGTCTCACAAGAAATTGCTAAAAATACCTTAGATGACTGCAAGATGAATAAGCTTTTATATGTGCAATAAATATTTAACTGTATCTTCTACACGCTGTGTTGCTTTTCTAGTTGGAACTTGTACTCCTATCATCTCCGCTTTAAAGACTGATGAAAGGAGTCAAATGAAATCTTGTATTGACATATAACTTATAGCATGGTAGAACTCTGGTATCAGTTCATGCTGTACTTAGATCTCTAGGTTACTTTAAAAATCATTATGACAGTTGTCACAACCTTAAGATCATTGGGGTTAAATTTGCTTTTATCTTAAGTTACCCTATTGCATTCTTTTCAACTCTTGGTTAGTTAACTCACACAGGTGGAGTTGACAGGCTTCTGGGAGCAAAGTTTCCTTCACTATCCTGTTTCTGTATGCTGATTGTAGAAGGAGTTATAATGAAATTGCACTCATTAATATTTTCCCATGTTTGTACTTCATGCTTTTTCTGTCATGTGAAAAATTAATTGAATTGGTTTTGCCTTATGTTTTCGCTAAGCTTTTCTCACAGATAGACCAGAAAATTAATGAACTTGTGGCTGAACAACAGAAAAATGATGCTAAGTTGGCTCATGACAAATCTGAGCTAGAACAGTTTAGGCAGGATATTGCAAATGCGGAGGGACATAAACTTTCCATTTCTAAAGCTCTTGAGAAAAAGGTATCTCGGCAATTACTTTTACTTTATGTTTGTTTCATCTTTAAGCTAATGAAAGAACCACTAAGCTGACTTTGATTGGTTAAATTTGCTTTTAAAATAATTATATACATTCTTGGATGCAGATACTAGATACAAATCCCCAGCTCTTTTTCCATCTCCAAAAGCAAAGGTTGATGGAACTGATAACGAATGGGAAGGTGGAAGAAGCTTTAGAGTTTGCTTCAAAGGGAGAGGAAAATGTAATAACTGTGTTGGGTATTATATTTTTTCTAGAACCTAAGGATCTCAAAATTTCCGTCTCTAGCCATAAATTTGACTCTTAATGTGGAAATTTTTAATTATTATTATTATTATTATTATATTATTATTATTATTATTATTATTATTGTATTTTTTAATTTTAATTTGACTCAATATATTGTGGAGTAATGTTGATATGGATTTTAAGCTGTAATAGGTACAGGAATTATAAAAAAAAAAATAGGAATTTTAAATAAAATAAAATAATATTTTTTTTAAAAAAAAAAGTCATCCGCGACCGTTTCTAGCTTAAAACGGTCGCGGATGACTAATTAATAAAAAAAAATAAAAGAAATAAAAACGCGACCATTTCTAGCTTAAAATGGTCGCGTTTTTACCATTAAAAAAATAAAAATAAATACAATACGGGACCATTCTTTGTCAAGAATGGTTGCGTATTACTAACAATGCGCGACCATTTCAAAATGGTCGTGTAAAGTCCATGACTTTCTGCGAGCCTCTCATAGGCGACCATTGTAAAATGGTCGCCTATTGTCTTTTACAATGGTAGCCTATCTGCAATTCTGTACTAGTGGAAACCGAGGAAGTACGAGGTCGCCAGCAGGTCAGAGAAGAAAGGAAAAGAGTAAAATGACTAAAATACCCTCATTATTTACCTATTAAAATTTTTCGGCGATATTTGACCGGCAATTTGGCCGGAATGACTAAAATTGACGAAAATTGCATAGTCACAGTACTAAATTGACACTTTTAAAAGTCGAAGTCTGAAATTAACAAGACTCGTATAGTCATAGGACCAAAATTGAAATTTCCTCAATATTTTAGGTTGAGAACCAAACGATAGAATATTATTTCTTCTGTATGTATATCTTTAAGATTAAGACACATTCCTTTATAAATCCAATAATAGAATACCAATTATTTTCTTATTCATTAGATTTTCTATAATACTTAGTGTACAATTTTATTTATATTTTCTTTGTGTTCCATTCCACAAATCAAATAATTTGTAAAATTCTTCCATATAACATTATCAAGAATATAATCACCTTTGATTGACAATTTATAATGAACTCCTAATATATTTTGTTTCTCTTTTTAATCCTTATTAAGGTAGGAATCATGCATCCTACAGCGTAACTGCTAATAAAGAGAACTTTTAACTTATTTTTTATTGGGTGACCAGTTAAGTTGAGCTCAGATTGAGGAATGAACTTTACACTTCAATCTGATTTCAAACAATACCAATTAATTCCATGGATTAAAATAATAATTTTATTCACTAATAATTGCTAAGTGCTTTCATGCACACACACGGACTTAGAAATATCAGTAATAATAATAATAATAATAATAATAATAATAATAATAATAATAATAATAATAATAATAATAATAATAATAATAATAACAATAACAATAACAATAACAATAATTGATGGTTTTTGGGTTTTCGGGCCCAAGGAGGTCCAACACAACCTTTAGCTGGAGAATACACCTTTCAATAAAATGTATATTTGAGTGAAGCACTCGTTTATAATTTGTTTTACTCCCCTCTCCGGGTCTCTGCTTGTCTCTCTTACAAGAGTGGAGGAGCCTTTATATAGCAGGTTCTTCCCCTACTGACTTAAAGGCCCTTAATGGCCGACTTCAAAGCTAATTGAAGCGCCGAGCCGTTGGACGCCATTACTCGGTCGGTCAACGGCTCTCGCAAGCTTGTAACAGCCTGACCGAGTCCTGCTTTCAATGCCTTAACGGCTCTCTGTTCAAACGAGTCTCTTTAATGCTCTCAACGACTCCTTGAACTGAGTCTTTCCTTGGGCTTGGGCCCCAGTCGACTCCTCGTCTCGGCCCAAACTCCCACTGGGCTCCTCATAGCAGCTCTGAATTTGGTCTCCGTGCTTGGGCCTGGGCCGACTCCCGGGGTCGGCCCAAGCGCCCTCCGGGCTTCCTTTGACACCAGCCCACCTTTCTTGTCTCGGACCCTTTCTTTGGGCCAAACTTTCTTGGGCCGGGGTTCTCACCCCATCAACTAGTCCCTCACTTTTCCGTACCCGGTCCGCTAACCTGGGTTTGGAAAAGTAGTAACCGAACATCTATTTAGACCTCCGAATCCCTGCATTGAATGTCCCTTATGACGCCCGGATTCTCTGCCATCTCCCCGAATCTACCGGAACCGTTTCGATTCTCCTAGCTCTGTGCGGCTCCTATAAAAGGTCTCTTATTCTTCTTGTCTCTTCCACTGGTCCGCCATGGGTCGCTCACCTCTAAAAGGGAAGCGAATCGATTTCGGCTCTCCTCGACGTCCTCTTTCTTCGAAGCGGACTCGACCTGAGAGGGAAGGCAAGAAAAAAGCCTCTCGTCCAACTCCTCGGAGATCTCCAGCTGGTGCCACCTCCTCAGCTTCTTAGCCGCCGACCCCACCTCAGCGAGAAGTCGTGCCGCCTTTGCTTCGTCCGCCGACTCCAACAACTGCCAGGGTGACTTCTCAAGATGGATCCTTTGTGGAGGTGGCCGTCCCTGAACAATTGACTTTCCGCATGACGTTCTCTATTCCTCTGGACGACCCCGACGGGCCTGTCACGGGTCTGATGGATGATGAGGACTACACTCGTTACTTGGAGAAATACCTTGATGACGAGGAACCTGTGGATCTACCGCTCATGCCTTCTTTCTGGGATTCGTTCTGCCCCTCTCCCCCTGGGCCATCGGGGGGAAGGTTCTTTGGAAGCGACTCCTCCTCCCCCAGTGAGTGATTATCTAGGCCGGAGTCGGTCTCATATTTCAGAGGGGTCTTCTTTAGGAGCATTTTCATTATCCTTATTGTAATAAGCTCCTTACTACTCGTACCCTTCTTCTTTTGCCAATAAAATGCTGTTTTTCGTCCTGTCTTATATTTCGTGTTTTGTCGTGTACCCATCCGGACGACTAGTCAAGGAGTTGGTCACATCGTCAGTCCTTTTTCAATCTGACATCTGCAAGATTCCCCGTATCTCGGGTGAATCTAATCTTCTCTGCGCGGCGTGCGAATCTCGCTCTTCCCGGGCGGATTTGATGGAACTAATCACTGACAGAGATTCGCGTCATCCGTCTAATCCGGCTCAGTTATGTCAGTTACGATTCCTTCCGTGATTACCGCCTAGATATTCGCTTCCCCTAGGCTATATAAGGACCCTTCACGGTTGGTGCAAATCACAATACCCCTCATTTTCGAAGGCACGAAGCTATGAGTTACAGAGATGGTGATCGCCGCTGGTCCATCCGCAACCAGGAGCACGCTCGACTGGAAAAGCTGAAGCAAAAGAGGCTGGCTAACGGAGGACGTTTGGTGGGCGACTCGGCTTCAGACCCCATTGTGGTGCCCCCGGACATGCTGGACCTGATGTGTAGGGAGCCTATCGATGTGGAGATGGAGCCGGTGGTGGAGGATCCAGAAACAGAGGTGGAAGAGAAGTGGGAGGCTCCTCCCCTTTTTGGTGTCGCCATGTCGCCGAGTGCTCTGGAGAGGCCTCTGCAAATGATTGATGACGGGAAGCCGGCCGTGTATCTGGATGAGGTGCACGATCCAGAGCCGAGTCCTCTACCTTTCCGCCCTTAGTACTTCCTGAAGGGTCCTCCGACTGCTCGCCCGTCAGGAGAGAAAGAAGCCAAGCCTTGATCTGCTTTTCTCTTGTAACTTACGTCGGCCGAGTCCTAGGCCTTGTAATTTCTCGTACTTTATTAAATAAACTATGTGCCTTTGTGTCCGACTCTTATTTTTCTATACCTTTTTGGACCGACCTCCGGCCTATGTGACCGATTCCGTGTCCTTTTACTGCGAGACCTTCTTGGCGAGGGAGTCGCCAAATCTGATTGCCGACCTCATGACCGAAGTCTCTTCGCCAACTTGACCTGTGTCATCTGATGGGCCGGGTTCTACCGGGTCTTTTTAGAAGCTTCCAGCTCATACCCGGCGGGCCCAGAGGCCGTGGCCTACGATGGGCTTCCGGCTTAGCAGGCTGGGTCACTGTCATTCGACCCTAACCTAGGGCAGACGCGCCGTTTGCAGGCTAGCCCTAGGCCTGAACCGTCGCTCCGTCTTTTGAGGCATTAATTGCGGCGTCCTTTCACCTCTTGTCACCCTTCTTCCCTCCAACGCGGAGGCGACACGTGGCCATCCGTTGGGATTCTCCCCCTTTTAAATAGCCATCTTCTTCCTCTTCCTCTCACTTTCTCTCAACTCTTCGAACTCAACTCCAAGCATTCCCGGTCTTTTCTGTATTTTTCTCAGTCCACGCTCAGGTTGATAAATGTCTTCCTCTTCTCATTCTTCTTCTTCTCGTCGTCGCTCGGTTGATAACCCAGTGGCGACTTCCCTGTCTTCTTCTTCTCCTTCTTCGTCTTCTTCTTCTCCTCCCCGTCGCATGGAACTTCCGGCGGACCTTCCATCGACGTCTTCTCTTCCTCCGACCCCCTCTTCTTCGGGGCGGTTACTCCGATGAGCACTGCTCCTCTAACGACGGTGGCAGCTCTGCCAGGCGGCCGCGAGGCAAGTTCGATTCAATCATCCGCCCTTCTGGGTCACCGTCCGTCGTTACTGCGGCGGACCTGGAAATGGCCCAATTTCTACTTGGGCCTTCGGCCGTGATTCTTGCTCCGGAAGGCCGACAAATTTACGACCCACCGGAGGGTTACGTTGGCATTCATTTGCACTCGGTTGCCTTTGGCTTCCGAGTTCCTCCGTGTCCTTTCCTCTCTCTTTTGTATCGTCATTACAACTTAGTTCCGGGCCAACTAGTGCCCAATTCTCACCGACTCCTCACCTGCTTCATAAACCTCTGCCATTGGTGGTTGTGCGAGCCGGATCTAGACTTGTTCCGGTATCTTTTTACCGTGAACAAGGTCGGCTCACACTCGCCGGGTTTTGTCCAAGTTGCCGCTCGTGCGGGGCGACAGCTTTTCGAGGGGTTGTCCGACTCCATTAAGGACTGGAAGCTCCTCTACTTCTTTGTCCGACCTACTTTCTCCTCCTTCACCTTTCCGACCCTGTGGCCGGCTGCTCTATTCAAGCCTTGCTCTCGGC